AGTTTAAATAGAGATAAAAGCGAGGGAGCGAGTCTTTTTCGTATTAAAAATAGATAAATAGGTCAAAGATAAGTGGATTAAGAGTGAGTTTACTCATTTTAACCATAATAATAATGGTATCTTTATTTACTGGAGAAAACGCACTGGGCATTCCATTCCAGCTTAAAACAAAGTAGGGGAAGCTTCCCATACACACAGGCAGACATGAATGAAATGAGGTACAACTATTCTATTTCACTCGAAATATATAGGAGCACATGGATCGGAAAGCATTCACCAGAGCATTTCCATTTCAACTAAGTAATCCTGCAAAAGGAACAAATTTTGGTTATCATAGAGATGTATAGGTAGCTACAGGGAAAAGAAAAGAGCAGACATTGATGGAAGTCATCAGAGTGAGAGAGTTGGCAATTGTATCTTACTTGGAACAATCAACATTGGGTGAAACAGTGAAAGGCAAGGTGATTCCACAGTTAGCTAACTGGGGGTTTGGATTTATTTGCTTGGAAGCTGACTTGATGCAGTTACAAGCTGTCTGCTTATCAGCCGTGGTTGATGCAGCAGCTTGAATAGCTGAGATTCCCGAACAGCATGCAGCAGGTGGTTTCCCAGTGCCATTCATGAGGTAGTTCACACAAGGCCTCAGGTCCTTGATTACATCATTGCAAGAAATTGCAGCATGAGAAGGTGGAGTGAGTAAAAAAAACATCATGAGAGCAGACATTGCTGCCGCTGCTACAATTGGAGATTTCATGGCGCCGGAGAAGGTGAGATAAGACTAACTTGGAGCATTTCCCTACACACTTGTTTCAATTTTATAGTGCACCTGGAGGGATACTCACAAGTACACGAAAGGTTAGAAAATTCTAAACTTGCAATGATTCAGTTGCTAATGAGTGCAGGAAAATAGAAAGAAGAAATGATCCAAACAAAGGAGTATAAAAGTCATATTAGGGGGGATTAATGAAGAAGATTGTGCCACCTTTAACTCATGCAAGAATGTCTGCAATACTAATTTCCTGAAACGAGACTTATTGTTCAATAATCATAAGTGATGCGAACATTATATATAAAAGGATTCGTGAACCCACAGATAAATTTATTTTCTTTTTTAAAAAAGCTAACATTAATTTAAAATTTGAGATTCATCCAACAATAACTTGTTATGAGAACCAAGACTATAAGAAAGGCCACCTCCACCTTACACCTGCATTAAAACGTGAAAACACTACGAAGATCGGTTAACCATTCAATAAGTTTGAGTAATTCAAGAACCAAAATACGAAAATCAACACACAAAGAGCATACACAATATGTATATGACAACCTTGTTATTATTGTTAAAATTGAAAAAATTCTTATATAAGTGTATTTATATATAAACTTTAAATTTAATGAGTCAAACATGTATTTAATTTAAATAAAACCTAAGCTAATTAAAATTTGATATTTATATAATAACTTTATTATTATTGTTAAAATCGAATAAAATCCTTACATAAGAGTATTTATATATAAACCTTAAAATTAATAGGTTAAACATGCATTCAATTTAAATAAAGTCTAAGCTAATTAAAATTTGGTTTAAAATAATAAAAATAAATAAAACAATAGTCTAAGTAAAATCATAAACATGTTAGAAAAATAAGTTTTTGATCTTGCTTTTTATTGCATAAAAACTGAAGTATTTACCAATATTTTCTACACTCTTCTTTACTAATCCTTATTTCCTTCTTTTTACTCTGATTTCAATTGATTTTTTTTCTTCGTTACATGAATTTTAATCTTTTCTCTCCTTTCTTGTTCTTTTTTTAAAGCTCATTTTATTTTCACTCTTTAAACTCATGATCTCACATGTTTATTTGTCTTCCTCACTTTGTTTTCTCTTTTCAACTTTCATTGGTTTTATTTAAGCCTATGTAGCTCTCTTTAACAAAGATTTAAAATAAAAAAACTAGTCGAAATTAAAAGATAGAGAATCAAGAAATTAACATGAAATAAAAGCATAAATTGAAAATATATAACCTCAAATTAGACGAAGCTATAATACTAATTGATATGAATCCTATGAATATAAGGATCCGCAAACCCATAAACAAATTGATTTCATCCTAAGAAAGTTAAGATTACAAGAAATATAGAAAACACTATGAAGATTGATCAATCCTTCTATAAGTTTGAGTAGTTCAATCAAGAATCAAATATGAGAATCACTCACCTCCTAGAGCATATACAATATGCAACAACTTTGTTATTACACAAAATAAAATCCTTACATAAAAGTATTTATATAGGGTCAGATATGCATCCAATTTAAATAAAGCTTAAACTAATTTAAATTAGATTTAAAATAATAAAAATAAATAAATAAGATTCTAAAATTTGTTTTTTTTTTTACCTTTTGCTACATATAATAGTGAAAAACATCCAAGAGAAATAATTATTGAAGAATACTTGTTGAACAAAAGCTTTATGCCTCTTAAAATAAGAATTAATTTTTTACCAATTAATTCTTCTTATTTGATACGGAATCCTTGCAAAATAAATAAGTCAAAGGCTACCATATAAGTTTTCAATAGCATTAAAGATTATTTGTAATGAATAAAATTCATAATCCTTAGGGAAACAATGTCTTTTCTATTTTCAATGTTAAAAGATTACAGCATATCCTCTTTATTTGAGGGTAAATTTTTTTTTTCCAAAAATTTAGCAGAGTTTCATTTACATTTAAAACATCTTATTAACTACTATCCATATTTTTTTAAAGGAAAAGGAATCCTAACATGAAAAGAAATTATTTACAATATAAAAAATGTTCTTAAACATTTTAAAATGGTTAATTACAAGATAACTAAAATACTACATGCTAAACTAAACCCTTATAAATACATCAAGGTTTACACAAAAATATACTACATAAACATGTTAATCCCCTTTTGTTTTAAGTTAAATATTTACATAAGCTTCATGAAGTAGAGTTTTAAACTAATGATCTTCCTGAATGTTTGATGGACCTGTTACATAAATAAACATACAATTATGTTGATAATATATATATATATATATATATATATATATATATATATGTAATGAATATGAATGAAGTATTAACTTTCTATCAAATCCATAAGAATTTTAATAAAGAACTTATATTTTGCTTATAAATCTTTTAAACCCAATTAACACTCATTTGTATATTCTTAATTGAATACTTTTATTTTCTTGGATATATTAGGTGACCTTGCAAGGTTTAATCCTGTAATTCATTTCTTGATAATCCTATCATGGATGTTATTAGCCAGAGCTAATCATGTAAATCCTTTCTCGGCAATCCTATCACGGATACTATTAGCCAAAGTTAATCTTGTAAATACACTAGGTTTTATTTATATTGAATACGATATTTATTATAATTGCATTCACCAAAAGGATTCTAAATTGTATAAGTGCATATAGGAGGGAAAATCATGCACCTGTTTCGCCTGTCTCGCGACCTCCCCTAACAGAAGATCTAATCCTGGTTGCTCCTCCTGAATCACAAAGAAGTTTTGTTTTTTTTTTTTTGTTATGATTCCTTCAAGCTGATATTATAAAAAATTCATATTCATCCATTACTCATATGTTACTTTCTATGCATGTTAATTTCCTCAAAATAACATACATACATATATCATGTATATTTTTAGAGTTAATATATCAATATACAAGTGTTCGTATAACTCAATTTTTTTATATTCTTATTTATAGTATTAATGTGAAAGTCTATTATTATTGTCTAACTTTGAACTATTATTGTCTAAATTTCCAATTGTTACTGTGTAACTTTGGACTATTACTGTCCAATTTCCAATTATTATTGTCTAACTTTGAACTGTTACTGTTTGACTTTTTCGACAGTGACTTTTCCAACCGTTATTGTCTGACTTTTCTAACCATTACTATTTGATTTAGAACTGTTACTGTCTGACTTTGAACTGTTACTGTCTAAACACTCATCAGATTTTTAACTATATCTAAAGTTCTAAAACTCTATTTTAAGTGAGATTGATCTCATTAGAAAGTTAAGACACGAAGCTATTAATTCTAGCTTCTCTTAGGGAGGAGAACTTAGTTTTGCCTCTAAGATAGTCAAAATTGTTCATTTACTAATTAATCCTACTGCCCTACATAATCAGTCACACCTTGATCTTAGTTGGTAACCCATAACTAGAGTTTTACATCTCCAAATTGAGCAAGATCAGTTTTCTTGGTTAGCTAACATTCAAATTTATAATTTCTATAAGGAACCCGATCTTAATCCCCTCATACTCCAACCTAAAATCTCATTGAAAGTTAGGAGACAAGTCTGTCCAAATTCATCTCTCCCTTCCCTTCACACAATACTTTCATAAACTACATACCACACACATAAATTAACTTAATCTCAACAATAAGTACTTTTTTCCCAATTTATGTCTAAGAATCCTAACTTATGATTCAATATCAAGGCATCAATTCTTTATCGAATTTAAAAATAATATTTTTTAAGATCATGTTTAGAATACCTTATGTCGCACCCGACATCGCAGTAGTCTTAAAAATTATCATAGAAAAGAATGGATTTCTGGCATTTTGTTCTTTAATAGGGAATGTTTTTGTTTAAGGAGTCGTCATCTAATATTATAGTCACTAGGAACCCTAACTGGTCAACAGAGATTTATGGTACGAGACTAGTTACGTAAAAGGGAAGATACTATCACCCCTTAAACATCCTGCCTAAGGTAGGTTGCATTGCTGGTTTTGTCATAAATTGCTAACATTTTATCGGTTTATTTTATGATGATTTGCATGAAATATTCTTGACTCCGTGTGTAATATTCCTAACTTTGACGCCAGTGAATATTTAACTATGGATATTTCCAACTATGGTGTTGGTAAATATTACGCAGCTATAGAAAAAATAAATCTAAATTAGTGTTTTTTATTCCTGACTCTAGCATCAGGAAATAAACAAATCAAATAAATTTATTTTTTACGCATACACGTTCATATATAACTAAATAAAATAAAATAAATTTACATCAGTATTTTTATTCCTGACTCTAACGTCAGTGAATAAACCAATAAATTTACTTTATTTTATTTTATTTTTGCATGCATATTTTTTATGTTTATGTAATTTAAATAAAATAGAATCAAATAAATTTGAATCAATATTTTTATTATGACTCTGAAATCAATGAATAAAAACAATAAATTCATATTTATTTTTTATTTATACATACACACATTTTTTTTTTATTTTTTTTTTTAGGTTGGGCTGGACCCAGCCAGGCCCAAACCAATAAGAGGCACGCGTGGACGCGTGCATGCATAGTGCGAAGGTAATTAATTTATCTTCGCACAGTGCAATGTTCCTCTAAAACAAAGGCAAAGAAAAACAAAAGGAAAAACTGGCTTACCTAGTTTGCCAGAGACGATGAAGACGACAACAATGCTCCTCCTGAGTGATTGGGTGACACTTAACAAAGAACCCATTTCAAGCTTCCCTTTTGTTCTTCTGGTTTTGCTTCTTTGGCTGCTACTAACTTGGTGTTGTGAAGCTGAAGACGAGCGGCTGACCAACGCTTGCAGTTTCTCTACATTTCACTTGCGTTTTGAGAGCAAAGGCAAAGCTGAGAATGTTGTCCTTTTGCTCTCTCCCTGTTTCTCTATTTTTAGCCCTCTCTCTGTTTCGTCTCTGTTTCCTCCCTGATTTTGTTTCTTCCTCAGATTTTTAGCTTGTTTCGTTTCATGATCCCCTTCTCCTGCCTCTGCTCTGCTTTTAGGTTGATTTTTGCGTCTTTG